TGATTAGTTGGTTGGGGGGGGGGGAAGAGAGACTGATTAGTTGGTTGGGGGAAGGAAAAGAGAGAGAGATCGATTAGTTGCATAAAAAAATAATAATCTATTAATCAAAAAAATAATCGTTAGCTGCAGCCCCACGGCCAGGTTTTTATTGCTGTCTGCGTCCCCGTTAGAGAGAGTCACCTTCCATTTTTACCGCTATCACTGAAAGTGAAATCCCAAATTCGGGGTTGTCACCAGAACAGGACGTGATGTGGGCAGCTGCAAACAGAAGAGGAGAGAAGGCTCGGGACTGGAGCGTGTGTGACTTCAGCTTTAGGTGAGTAAAACATTAATTTAGATTTATCTAATCCAGCGATCAGTTAGAGGAAGGAGGAGGTGGTGGGGGTTAATATCCCAGAGATCAGCTTTAAAGTGCATCTAAACCCAAGATAACATTTTTTTTCAGGCTTTTCCCCAAGAAAACCTGCAAATAACCCACTTCCTGTCCCTGGGTGTCTACACTCACCCCTACACTGGATGGAGGTAGCCATGGTGTTCACCCAGGCTGGACTACTAATATGCCTTTGTTTACCTCCTTTACATGGGGCTGAGTAAATTATTAGTCCACAAAACAAAGACAATTTTTTTCCCTCCCCTCTCCCCCTTCTGTTCATTTTACATGACGTGATTAGGACACAGAATTTCTGGCGGGAATCAGAATCTACAAATATTCTCTATGTTTGAAAGAAAGAAAATGAACGCGACCACCACATCTTAAGGCAACTAAGCTGCAATGACACTAAATTGCATTTTGTTCTTTGATTTAGTTATCCTTTAAAACCGGAGGGGGCAACTGCAGCCCTCCAGCTGCTTGTGGAACTACAAGTCCCATGAGGCATTGCAGGACTGACAATTATAGGCATGACTCCCAGAGACAGAGGCATTCTGGGATTTGTAGTCTCACCACAATTGGAGAGCCAGAGTTGCCCAGTAACTCCTGCAATGACTGGTTCTCTTCATGGCTTGGAGGTCCCTCAAAGATATGACTTGGCTATCCCACCTACACATTAGTACATAACAATATAAAAGCCTATTGTAACTATAATAATGTGCAATTTAAAAAAAAAACCCAGCATACAATGTGACCGAAATGTCTCCTTTACCTGCAGCCGGCACACTGCACTGCACATAGAAGCCGCCATCTTCCACCGTACCAACGAGTCCTGGACATGACCTTGTATTACATGGTGAACAGCGACTCCTGCAGGTAGGATGAACCGTTGACAGCGCCATCTGCAGGAAGTATGAATCGTTGGCAGCGACACCTGCAGGTGGGATGAACCGTCGACAGCGGCATCTGCAGGTGGGATGGATAGTCCACAGCGACACCTGCAGGGCAGATGAATGAACTGCCTCCAAGCTGGCGCTCCCCTGTGATAGCGGTGTCTACTCTGCAATGTGTCAATCAATGCACCAACTGTTGGGGGATGGATCGGTGTGACGTCTGTGGTAAAGATGAAAGGCTTTGCAGGCCGCCCAAATTATCGCCTAACAGTTGAAAGGGTGTTTTTTATCGGACAGATTTAGACTTGCAAGGTATATACGTGGGCATGGTGCAGTCACTCTCTGTGCCAGATTTAAAAGATACCAAGATTCATTTTCGCACTGGTAAAATACCAATGACACGACTTCTAGGGCTATATGGTGTAATTTCACACCACAGACCAGGGATAGGCAGCCTGGGCCGTCCAGCTGTGCTGAAACTACAAATATCACCATGCTCCTGTCTCTAGGGATCATGTCTGTGGATGTCAGCGTCTTGCAATGCCTCATGGGACTTGTAGTTTCACCACAGCTGGAGAGCCGAGGTTGCCAACACGTAGACAAGGCAAATGTCCTACTCAGTGTGCTGAAAACGAATCTCTGCGCAATTTTACGTAGCGCTTTGCGACGTACGTCCTGCATTACAACATGTTTCTGTACAAAGAATTGGATGAGGGGAATCTGGAGAAGTTGCTCATAGTAACCAATCAGCTTCCCTCATTCTTCTTTAAAAATGCCAAATTCTTTTTTTCCTGATTTATACAAGACCCAGTGTGATGCATGCAGATCCTTTCGTCCGCTATCACACAGCACACCTAGCGTGGGGTACCATGCGCTGGGTGCGTTGTGTTGTCGTTCATTTGAATCACACCTCCCGACGGTGTGGTGCTAGCGTCCGTGCATGCACTACCTTCTATTCAGTGCAATGCGTGGTTTTGTGGTACCGGGTGTTGTGCCACGCTGCAATGCATGGCCTCCAGGAGTTGCCTTGGAGTCCCATTTACATAAATGGGAATGCAATGCACCCAGTGTGTGGTCCTGCATGCTAGGTACCCTGTGCTATAGCATGCGCCTAATGCATAGCTACCATGCGCCCAGCGAGTCATTGCCTGCGGCCCGGCTTCCTTATCGGCCAGGAACCGGCTCCCTCGCAGCACTGCCGGTCAGAGGAAATCTCCCTCTGACCGGAAGTTCTGGTATCGGGGTAAGAATCAGGTGCATTTGGGCGAGTACTTGACCAAATACTCGGTATCGGCACCGATACCAATACTAATATCCGTATCGGTGTGTCCCTAGTTTATTTATAATTACAGGTATTTATATAGCGCTGACAACTAACACAGCACTTTACATACTGTACATTCACATCAGTCCCTGCCCCCGAGGAACATACAATCTAAGGTCCCTATCTCTCATGTATACATACATGGCCAATATAGACAGGAGCCAATTAACCTTCCAGCATGTCCTTGGAATGTGGGAGGAAACCAGAATACCAGAGGAAACCCACACAAGCACAGGGAGAACATGGTGTGAATGGGCCCTAAAACCTATCCCTGGGCACCCAGACAAGGACCCTTCCACTCTGTGATGAGGAAGAGTGAAGGCTCAGACTTGGCGTGTCATGTGACCATGGATTTCAGTAAGTAAAAGGGTCTTTTAGATGATGATATTTTAGTTGGGTGGGATAAAGGGTGAGGTGGAGGAACTGATGTCTGAAGACTCTGTTTAATGGATACGTTAACACACGCTTGTTTACAATTCTCTATTTTCAGATTTCGACATATGGAAATAACATCAAATGAGGAACTTTTAATCCAGTGGAAAGGTAAAGCTTCGCCCCCTAATAATAATCCTGCACAAGCGGGCAACTTCATTTTATACTACATGTCATTGCCCTGGGCAGTGGTGTAGTTTGGTTTTGTGCTTTTAGTCCCACATCTTCCTGTTTAAGACATTTTGCATAACCTGTCAGTCGCTGGATACAGCGCACACAGTTCTGACAGGTTGCGCTATCAACGTAGCGGGTCGCTCTAGCTCTACCTTTGCAATAGCCACCTTCTCCATTCCTGGCTTGATGGGCTCCCTAGTTCTGCAGCTACAATAACCATTCTCTCCTGCCCTGCCATGCTGTGCTAGTCTCTAGTTCTGCAGCTGCAACACCGATCTTCTGCCTTCATATGCTGGGCCCTCTAATTCTGCAGTTACCAATCTTCTGCCTTGGCCGCTGGGCTCTGTAACTTGCCCTGCTCTAGAGACATAACCTGGCATAGAGATTATAGGCTGCACTTCCCCGGACTCACCACCGCGGAGGTGCCGATGAGCACGATGGCCATCTGGATCTCAGCCATGGGGTCCTCCGCTGCCTGAAGTCAGAGATTTGGGTGCCGGTTTCCCAGGACGGTCCGGCACACGAACTGCCAGTGCATCCGGATGAAAGTGACACACACCAATACATAGCACAGCATGTTGACCAGGAAGAGGAAGGAGCTGCAGCCGGGATATATGTTGGAGTAGGCGGCACAGGTGGACATGTTGGTCCCCCAGTCAAAGAAGCACGAGGTCCAGGAGAACTGGCAGTAATTTATGAATAATTTATAATATCATTTATTTTTTTTCTCTTACCTAACTGGTTTGGGTGCAGAATTTTTTGGCGCCCCCCTGGAAAGTGCCGCACGAGGCAAATGCCTAGTTTGCCTTGCAGTAGATACACCCCTGTGTCCTGTGTATATAGCTTGACATACAGCTAAACCCTCCTATTCTGCAATAAACCAGACTGAGTGAAATCTTGATGCTTTATTAACAAAACAGGGCGAGGTGAAACTGGTGAAAGAACATAGAAACATACAATCAATATAAGAAACATGTCAATTTACAGGGCTATTCAGAAAGAGTTTGGAGAAGGCAGGAGAAGTGAACAATCTAGGACAATATACTGATTTGGAAAAATTCTCAAATTCAGCTCACTTTAGGACCCATTCACACCACATCCAGATCATCTCCAGACCAGAAAAGATTGTTTCTGGACACAAAATGCATCCTAATGTATCCCTATGCTTTTTCTGGCCTTTGTTTACACCAGCGCAGTCCGTACCAGACCAGAAAAATCCTGCATGTGTCGTTTTGTCTGGTCTGGAATGCACTCGAACTTCGGGCAGGTTCACATCATTTTCCGGACCAGATCTGGTCTGGAAAATGGTGTGAACCTGCTGTAAGTGAATAGCCCTTATAGTGTCCGTTTACAAATACAGAGCAAAACAAGCCCATCCATACCAGCGATGCCGCATAGAGGGAATTTGGGCACTTTCCTCCAGACACGTGCTTAGGATGGCAGTGGATTATCTTCTTCTAAAATGGAAGTTGTATTCCCAGAATACTCGTGTTCCTTCTTCTCAGGCTGAAGGATGATAGAAGTTTATTATTACCGGATGACAGTCTAAGCTGCTGTAAATAGAGATGTTTCTGTACAGCTCCATCGTGTATACGGCAGGCAGATAAACAATTATTTTCCCTGCTGGGCAGAAGAGTCATCCTGTCAGCATGTAAGGGTTAGACTTGTACACATGTCAATGCTGACCAAGCAATTTTTGGGCAAATTAAAGGAGTTGTAAAGTCCCAGCACATCTTCTCCTGTTATAACATCAGCATTGTATTAGGAATACATAGTAGAGTGGTTGCTGATGATGCAATCAAATCTTACTTGATAAAATCCCTGTTATGTAGTGAGTGCTGCATTCTGTCTGCCCATCACTTTCACCAACTTCCTGGATTCCCAGTGTGCTTTGCATCTCTTTCCCTGCTGCTTGATGTGATGAAACCTTGATTTCTCAAGACTACATATCCCATCATGCATTGCTTCCAGCAAGAAGTTTCCTTGCAAGAAGATGGGGAACACCGGTCATGATTCCTGTAATGGAGGTAGAAAGTTTCTACACCAACCTGTTCACTTACCCCAAAGCTAAAGGAGGGGTGGGGTCTGCCCTATTCTCGATCTCAAGGTCCTCAATGAGTTTCTGTGAGTCCAGAAATTCTGTATATATGCTACACACCCTGTCAGCACCTCCCTTTACCAAGGAGACTTTCTGGAGTCATTGAATATCAAGTATTTGCATATCCTCCCCATTTTTCCTGCTCAATAATGCTACCTGCATTTTGCTGTGGGCACAGACTACTACCAATCTGTTGTCCTTCTATTTGCTGTCCACTGCACCTTGAGTCTTCACTAAGGTGCTGACCCCCATTTTGCCTCTGGTTTGGTCTCAGGAGATCCCCATAGTGGGGTACTACTTGACGTCCTTCTCCCCCCAGAGAGCGTTGGGGGAGCAAGCCTTATCTTTCAACTTTCATCAGAAGATATAAACCCTGCAGAGCTTTAGATGGGCCCTGAATTCCCATTTCATGCTCGGACCTTTCAGTCCAAGAGTTGATGGTGGCCTCCTAGGCAGTTACCCAGATAGCAAGGATAACTTGCCACAAACTTGTGGCAGGGTGAAATTGTAATTTTGTTAACTTGCTGCACACATTCCTGGCAAGTTGTAGACTTGCAGAACACTTGCAGCACAAGTTCTAGTTGACACTTTTTGAATTTGTAGCAAATTTGCTTGGCAAGTCTACAGCAACAGTCCTGCAGATCTTAGCAAGAGCTCTGCAAGCTCGCTGGTCTGGAGACTTGCAATGCAGACTCTGCAGCTCAAAGAAAAGTGGACCTAATTCTGTTCCCAGACATGGAAAATTGGCAGACAGACTTCCTCAGTCATCAATGTCTGGATCCCAGTGACTTTCTAATGTCCAGATATACTAACAAACTGGACAAGTTTGTGCCAGGACCAGGGATCCCCGGGCCCCTGCTGTGGATGCCTAAATGACTCCT